GGAGGCCTTTTTGCATATAGGGCCCTTTCATGGAACAGCCTGGGATGTGGCAGCGACACATCTGTCCCGGAGCCTGTGCATATGCTCTTCCCTAAGCCTGGAACACCTTCTATTTACACAGCCCTGTCCTTGTGTCATTGCATCCAGTGTCTCCTCCTTAGAGAGGTCCTCTCTCTTGCTGTCTCTTGTTCCTCTTTCTTTTTGTTTATAGCATGTAGCATTACTTGACGTCATAATATTTCAATTCAATTCAACAAATATTTTTTGTTCACACATTTGTCCTCGTCCACACTAGATTGTAGGCTCCAGGAGAGCAGAGACGTGTATTTTGTTCAATCCTGGATCCCCAGCCCTTAGAACAGTGCTCAGTGCTTAATAGGTGGCTCAAGATCTATTTGTTGAATGCATGAATGTATGAATGAATGAATGAATGCCTGGGATCTTTCAGTAAATCCATGGCTGACTCAGGCCCAGAGTTCAGGTCTTCTATGTTCCTTTCACTGATAGCTGCATTATATTCCAGGATTTCCCATCTTTCAGATTCCCAGAAATTATGTATACATATGTGCTATGCCCTCTCAGCTGATGGCTTCCTTTTCCTTTCTTCACAGCTCTCTGGCATCAATTTTTCCACTTCTCAGAAACACTTTGGCCCACAAATTCCCAAGGGAACCTTGCTCCTCATTCTGGAAAACACAATGCCAACATATCAGAATAAAGGACAGATAGGAGCTTCTGCTTCAAAGTGAATCATTTCATGGATGTTAAAGTGTCCTGAAAGATTCTAAACTTCACAACTTTTGATAGTAACTGTACTATGTTTGCAATATATTTGCATATATTAATTGTTATATCTGAAAAGCATGAGATTGTTGTTTTCTAAAATTAAATGAAGTAAGTTAATATTTTATTACTAGGTATAAGAACTGCTAACGTGGACAACTGCTGATGAGGACATCTATAGAAGTAGAAAATTCTAAATGTCCTACCGTCACCAATAAGAAACTTTGACAGTCAAGTAGATACAATACAATCACATGGAAAACTGTATATAGTATATTGTATGTGAAGATCCCATGAAAAGAACAGAGACTGTAGGAAATATAATCATCTAAGCTACGGGTAAGAAGAACATCAAGATTCTTTAAAGCAATGGCTCTCAAAGTGTGTTTCCTAGACCAGCAGCATCAGCACCAAGTGGAAGCTTAGGAATGCAACTCTCCAGCCCCACCTCAGACCTACTGGCTCAACAACTGTGAGGGAGAGGTCCGTATTTTCATCTATGTTATAACAGGTCCTTAGGTGACTCCAATAAACATGAAAGTTGGCAAACCATTGCCTTTAATGGTGCATAAGTTGTTAATTTAGTACAAAATTTGCAGTTTTCTGTGTTGTGACTTTCTGTTTTTGCAGGAGGAGAAAAGTACCCCATCGCAGTAGAGATAAGTGGATCTGAAACCCCAACAGCAGCTGAAGAGGTTCTTTATGACACCTGGAACCTGCACTCCAGTTGCCCTTGCACGTTTGTGGTTTAATGGTCGCAGAGACAAATCTGCCACTTCTGGCTCGCATCCAACCAAAGTGCAGGTGTTCATCATTAGGAGATGTTGGCTGATGTACATAGACATGTAAGAAAGATTCAAAGGGTCGTGGATGGATCACCAATAACACCAGTATATGCAAGATCAGAGGACAGTGTGTGATCCAGGCCCTAGGATTGACAAATGGGGACTCAGTCCCTGCTTGGGATGGTGTTTTATTTTGACTTTTTTCTGAAACAGCAGAGAAGTTTCCCAAATAATCACAAGGAGATAAGAAAGTGTTTACACTTGTTTCAGTTGCTCTTCACTGCCTCCCTATGACCAACACTCACAATTCTATGGTCTTAGCAGTTGCACTGAGAAGTCAGAAGAACCTGCTACTGTGGGTTCATAACCTTTTATTACCTCTCACTGAGAAACAATGTATACTACTAAACAAGACATCAGTTATGACGCTCGAGATTTTAAGTGCTTTTTGAACTAAAAACAAACAAAAAAATTGTGACCTGCATAAAATGTAAATGGTTTATCTTCAAGTCAAAAGCCACAGGCTTACCTCTGCAGCTTTACTCTTTCCTAAACATTGCTTTTGTATATTGCAAACATTGCTTTCGTGTATTGCTTATGTATGCTTTCCGCATGCCAAAAAGTATATAGAGAATAACAGTTTACTCTAAGTCCTCCAGATGAGTTACTACCTTTACTATGTTTCATTCTCATTACATGTGTCATTGCTTATTAATATACGTGTTTTGTAGTGGACTTCATGAGGACAGGTAATGTTACCAACTTAATTGTGTACCCCCAAAATTCACATGTTGAACCCTAATCCCCAATGTGACTGTATTTGAAGTAGGGCCTACAGCAGGTAATTAGGGTTAAATGAGGTCATAAGGGTGGGGCCCTGAATCAGTGAGATTAGTGTCCTTATAGGAAGAAACAGCAGAGAGCTTGTTCTCTCCACCATATGAGGACAGAGTAAGAATGTAGCCATCTGTGAGCAGGAAGAGCGGCCTCACCGGGAACCAAATGAGCCAGAACTTCAATCTTGGACTTCTCACCCTGCAGAACTGTGAGAAAATAAATTTCTGTTGTTTAAGCCACATAGTCTGTAGTATTTTGTTACTGCGGCCTGAGCAGACTAATACAGATACCATGTCTATCTTGTTCATTGTCCTATCTTCTGTGTCTAGTATGTTATAGTCTCTCAAATATATGTTTAGTAAGATGCATCCTACTTAGAAGGCACTGAACTTGGCTTTAAATAACTGCTGCATTGTGTTACATTTCCTGGATTTTTTCTCTCTTTCATGAACTCTGTGAAGAAATTTTACTTAGAAAAAACTTACACTGTCATTGGCATTACAAGAGGTGCTCTACAGGACTTATGTGACCCACAGTAGCCCTGCAAAAAAGCCATGTCATCCACTCATGGACAGATTTAAGCTTAAAATTCTTCCAGAGCTAGCAATGGGATATCTCCCTTTATCTTCTCTGTGGTACAGAGACAGTTTTCCATTAATTTCCACATAAGGGCTTTCCATGAACATGGTACACAAAAAAGGGAGAAAGCAACAAGTGAGAGCACTCTGGGTAGGCAGGTTTCATGGGAGCAGAAAGGTGATCAGGAAGGCAGAGATGTGAACAGACCAGATGTCTCAGGGGCTCGAGACCAGTAAACATGGTGTGGGAGCAAATATTAAGACTTCTATTTTTATTTTTCAAATATTTTTAAAAAGGTTTTAAGCCAGGCACAGTGGTTCATGCCTGTAATCTCAGCTACTTAAGAGGCTGAGGTAGGGCCAGGAGCGATGGCTCATGCCTGTAATCCCAGCATTTTGGGAGGCTGAGACAGGTGGATTACTTGAGGTCAGGTGTTTGTGACCAGCCTGGCCAACATGGGGAAATTGTCACTACTAAAAATACAAAAATTAGTTGAGGATGGTGATGTGTACCTGTAATCCCAGACACTCAGGAGGCTGAGGCATAAGAACCACCTGAACCTGGGAGACAGTGAGCCGAGATTGTGCCACTGCACTCCAGCTTGGTTGACAGAGACTCCCTCTCAAAAAAAAAAGAAGCTGAGGTGAGAGGATTCCTTGAGCCCAGGAGTTCAAGGCTGCATGAGCTATGATCACATCACTGCACTCCAGCCTGGGCAACAGAGCAAGACCCCATGTTATAAAAAGCTTTTAAAATCCTTTTTTAAATGTCTATAAAAGGCATCCTTTTCAAATGTTTATTTTGCATGTGATTTAGGATGTGCATAAAAATATGTGCAGTAATATGTGTATTTAACTTATACATAAATAACAATACATCTATTGGGAATGCATGATCAATGTTGTTGTTTTTCTATTGGAATTATGTAATAAAAAAATATCTAAAGGCCGCTGGTCTTGACTTAGGTACAGCAGGAAGGTGGAAACAAAAGGAGGAGGTCCAAACACTAATGGGTTAATTAAAAGTCAGTCAACAGAACAGCAGTGGTAAAAAGCTTCCCACACTCCTCTGCGGCCTGCCTCTCCCCTTCCTGAGGCAGTCAGGCATTTGTCTAAGTCACCCTTAGGCAAAAAATTATAGATCTGTTCTTCTTAATTGAATTAACCACCTGGCAATATTACTGCACTCTTCAGCAGGCCAAAGTAAAGAGTTCACCATTCTGGCAGTTGCTGTCCACAATCTTGCAATGTCTCACACCCTACTTACCTACTTACCCTACAGGGATGCTTCCAGAGATAAGTTCTGCCTCAAAAACACACGCCTTCATTTGCTTGGGAAAGACTCTGTTAATACTAGCTACCTAAAAAAAAAAAATCAACCTGCTGTCTCCTTTAAAATATAAAAAAAAAAAAAATACTCAAAGATGGCCAGACAATGAGAAAAATAAAAGGACAAACAGAACAAATTGACTCTTAAAGAAATGGAATATTGGAACAGAAGAGAATGTCACAGAAACCCAAATTCTAAAAGATCCCACATTAGTGAATCCATAAAATAAGATCATGATGCTACATATTAAAAAATCAGAATAAAGAAATGCTTTTAAAAATTAAACACATAATTATAGAAATAAATAATTCAATAGAAATCAAGTAAATCTTCCAGAACCAAGGACAAAAATATAAAGAGTTAAAAACTAGAGGAACATATTAGGAGACCTTAAGAGTCAATACAGGAAGTACAATTTTCTAATAGGAGTTTAAGAAAGAAGAAAGAAAATGGAAGGGAGGAAGTATTAAAACACAGTGCAAGGATGAGACTTCTGCTTCTGGCCATGATGGAGTAACATGGAGCAGATTTACTCTTTTGCCTTAAACTATAGATAAACAACCAAAACAGCACAAAAGATTTAAAATACATATTTTTAGATATTTGACAATAAAAAACTCAAGACAGTGATCCCTGAGAGAAGAGAAACAATTGAGATGAGCTCTACAATTGCCCAAGCTGACTTACCGGAGAGAATTTCCAGGCCTCAGCATAGAGAGAAGGACTCCATATCCCTGGGGGTCAAGGAAATGCAGCTAGGAGTCCAAGGAGGCCACAGCAGCTAGATTTCATAAAACAGAGAACCAGATAAGAGACAGCTGCACACACAGAAAAAGCTCCAGAGAGCTGCAAACAGTATTAGGCTAATTACTGATCAAACAATGTATAGTAAGGAAACTTGAGGCCAGGGAAAGAATCACACAAAAAAGCAAAGGGATAAATCCCCAGGGTTCATGCTGGGCTGAAAATAGTTTCCAACCAGCGTGAAAAACCTCATAACTCATGAAGCATCAGGTAGCATACTCAGGGGGCTGTTACTTCAATAGTGGGGCAAATGTACTCTTACACCAAACACTTCTCTGGTCCCCTCTGACAAAAGCAAGCCTCAAAAGTACCATACCATTTCCAAGTAGCTTAACTGGATCCCAAAATAAAACTCAAGCAATATTTATAGGAATAAAGAAATATCCAGCACCCAACAATGTAAAATTTATAATGTCTGGCAGCCAATAAAAAATTACTGGACAGGCAAAAGGTAGGAAAATATAACCCATAATGAATGAGAGGTTTTTTTTAATTAAACTAATTAAATTCCATAGAGTTTAATTTAGCAAAGAACAATGCATTAATTGGGCAGCCCCCAGAATAGGTTCAGAGCAACTTCAGGGCTGCCACATGGTCAATAACATTTTTAAACAGAAAAATGAAACTGATGTACAGAAAACAGAAGTGAGATACAGAAATAGCTGGATTGGTCACAGCTGCTTTGTTGCCTTATTAAAGCTGGCTTAAACAGCTGGCCACCTGTGACTGGCCAAAACTCAGTTGCTGTTCTGGCCAACAGGCTGAGATGCTGCTACTTGTTACAAGAGCAAGTTACAGTCTGTTTACACATCTAGGTAGGCTACAGTTCATAATGCACAAGGAAGCCTTTAGACCAAACTTAAAATATGTAAAGAGGCAGCTTAGGCTAAATTTAATTTAACAAGAAGAAAAGTAGATCAATAGAAACAGTACACAGAATTAGTAGATTGGGACATTAAAACAGTTATTGAAACCATATTTCATATGTTCAAGGAGATGGAGGAAAGTATTAGTATATTAAAGAGAGACATGAAATATATTTTAAATATATTTTTAAAAGACCAAATCCAACTTCTAGAGATACAATGTCTGAGATGAAAAAATACTGAATTCAGATTAATAGCTGATTAGACACTGTAGAAGAAAAGAGCAGTGCGACTGAAGGCATAGTGATAGAAACTATTCAAAATGAAAGACATGGGAGAAAGGACAAGAAAAAATGAAAGAATAGCATCAAATACAACTTTAAGGAGTCTAATATATGTATATTCTGAAGGAGAGTAAAGAGAGGATAAGAAAAAAATTGAAAGAATGGCCAATAGTTTTCCAAACTTGATGAAAACTATAAACCCATTGATCCAAGAAGCTGACCAAACCCCAGCCACAGAAATAATACAGGAAAATTTTCTTCAGCTAGAGAGACACGAGTCCTCAAATAGAAAGAGTCCACCGAATGGTGTCAAGCAATCAAGTATCCAGGTAGTATTTAGGACAATGAGCTGAACTGAAAATAACAATCAAGCCTTTATTCACTAACTGCAAGCAAGGAGCAAAAAGAGGCACCAGCACCCCAGTGTTCCCTTTTCCCCTACAGAATGGCTAGGAATGCAGATATGCTTATGAGCACGGCTGGCCAGAGGTGGTGTGGGAGGTGGGAAAGCTGAGTCCTTAACCACAAATCCTTCTAGAAAAATGCAGTGCACTGTAGTGCACATGCAAGTCTGGTATGGGGAGGGCAGTTTCTCCCCATGAGGCTTGGCAGACAAAGCTTTGTAATTTCTGTGGTCAGGACTGAAAGACCACACACAAGATTCTGGGATGGAGCCAGACTCCTCAAATGAGGAGCAGAATCATTAGGGGAATAAAAGCTCCTCCTCCTCTTTCCAATACTCTGATATGGATGAAATCTGGAGGCCAGTCATGGTGGCTCACACCTGTAATCCCAGCACTTTGGGAGACTGAGGTGGGCGGATCACGAGGTCAGGAGGTCGAGACCATCCTGGCTAACCTGGTGAAACCCCGTCTCTACTAAAACTAAAAAAAATTGGCTGGGCGTGATGGTGGGCACCTGTAGTCCCAGCTACTCGGGAGGCTGAGGCAGGAGAATGGCTTGAACCCGGGAGGCGGAGCTTGCAGTGAGCCAAGATGGCACCACTGCACTCCAGCCTGGACGACAGAGTGAGACTCTGTCTCAAAAAATAAATAAATAAATAAATAAATAAAAATTTAAAAAAGATGTAAAATCTGGATATCAGGAAAGAAATCTAGGCTGAAGACCAATTTGGGAGCCATGAGCATAAATGACAGTCAGTGAACTCACAGAAAGGAAAGAGACCATTACGGGAGATGAGAAGAGAAGGTGAGTTAGGACAAAGCAGTGAGGCACACTAATATTTAAGTCACAAGCAGTGGAGTGGGTTGTACTGGAGACTGAGAAGAATGGCCAGAAAGGCAGATGCAACAGCAAACATGTATGCAACCATGAGAAGAAGACCATGGGGAATGACAGATGCCAAATGCTATGGAGAAGTCAAGTAAAATCAAGGCTATAAAATATCTGGTAGATCTGAATACTAGAAATTAACTGATGACCTTGGTGAGAACAGAGTAAGCAAAATGATTGGGACAGAAAGATAAACGTAGTGGGCTGAGGAATACATAAGAAGTGAGAAAACAAAGATAGTTGTGGACAAATGTAGATAGATTTGGCTACAAATAATAACAGGAAAGACAGCTTCTGGAGTGAATGCAGCATATATGCCTTTTTAAATTGGGAGAGACTTGAGAATGTTTAACTGTTAATGAGAAGAAACTAAAGAGAGGAGATAAAGTCATGAAAAAAGGTAAAAATAATCAATGGAAAGCCATCCCTATGAAGGAGTGGCTTACAGAACCAGACAGAGAGCTTTTCATTTGACTGAAAGAAGGATGTCTTCCTAGTGACAGGGAAAGACAGAAAGGAGGCAGGTGCAGGTGAGTTTGAAGTTGTGGTGATGGAGACCTGAAACCTGATCTGTTGACTGTATTTTCCAAGAAAGTAGGAGTTGAGTGGAGGAACATCTGTTGAAAATGAGAAGAAAAGTTGTAGGGTAGAGATTTGAAGTGAGTGCAGGTTTTTAATTTCAGCTTAATTGAGGTTGCAGACTATGAAGTTTTGATCACTGGGGCTATTTGATCCTTCAGGTTTTCTCCAGAAAAACTAGATTTTCCCCCTAAGCCCTCCTGAAGTAGGAAAAACAACAACCACAATGGTCAGGGAAAAATACCCAAAATTATTGAGCACAGTGTGCCAGACACTAAACTAAGCTCTTGATGTGCATTAACTGATTAAAAATTAATCACAGCACTATGATATAGATATTGTTATAGTCCCAACAAGGAAACAGGAAAAAAGATTAAGTAACTCGCCCAAGATCCCAGAGTGATGGAGCTGGGATATCAACCTAAGTCAACTTCAGAACTCAGACTCTTAACCAGTAGGCTAGTCTCTGTTTAAGAGATATTTAGTTAGCATTTGAAAAGGCATATGGTTGTATGGCTGTCTTCCATGTTACTGCTTAAAAACAGACATCTTTCTTTCTCAGTATGCAGTGAGCATGCAGCCACACTCAATCTTTCCTCAAGCTATGTGAACACAGATGAGACCTTCAAATATGCTGTTCCCGTTGTTTAGAATGATGTATCCCTCTTCTCTTCCTATCTCCTACTTATACTCTGCCTCCCCTTGAACATCTCTTACTCCAGGTTACCTGCTGCAATCTATATCCCTCGCCACTAAACTAGTTTAGTATTCCCACTGTTTGCTTCATCATCATCATTATTACTATTTTGAAATAGCATCTCCCTCTCTCACCCACGCTGGAGTGCAGTGGTGTGATCATGGCTCATTGTAGCCTTGACTTCCCGGGGTTCAAGCAATTCTCCCGGCTCAGCCTCCTGAGTAGCTAGGACCACAGGCTTCTGCCACCTCATCCAGCTAATTGTTTGTATTTTTTGCAGATATAGGGGTCTCACTTTGTTGTCCAGGCTGGTCTCAAACTCCTGGGCTCAAGTGATCCTCTTGCTGCAGCCTCTCAAAGTGCTGGGATTACAGGTGTGAGCCACTGTGCCAGCTTCACTACTATCTTTTACTGAATTGCCTGCCTACTGGGATGAGGAAAGGTGTTGGATCATAAAGCACCAAGGAGAAAAACATTCTGGAGATTCCAGAGTAGAACTGCTCAGATTCCTTCCTAAGCATCCCTGAGCTAGTGTTTGTACACCCTCAAAGTCTGTGCCACTGGGCTGCTACTCAGCTAGGACTCTTCTCGTTTCATCTACCAACCTCTCCTACCAGAAAGAAGTGAATTTATTCTTCTGGAAAGTTCTAAAGCAGTGATTTCTAATCCAGGGTGCACCTACCCTGGGGTTTGTGTTGGAATACAAGGTCCACTGAAGTGCAATGAAATTCTATTTACATTTTTAAAATAATAAATAAATTAAGCTTTTGATATTTGATATATAATCTAGCACGAGCACCTTCACTTGGTCCAAATGCCAAAGGATCACATGTCACATTCAGTGATATGTGACACATTTGAGAACACAGTAAAACTCACAAGGTGGAAACGTGCAGCAATGCTTCTACTTGTACGCTTTTGGAGTTGGTGACTATGTCTAGCCATTTACTTGGCCTGATGTGTGTTTACAAGTTGTTAGCTAGTTTTAACTAAATTAATGCTCACAAAATAAATGTGACAATGTTCTTGCAAATAAATTGGAAATTAAAGATAGTATTATTAATACACAAGTCAATAAGGTAACAGCAGCCTTGACATACTAGCTAATCACAGTATGAAGCCATCACATTAGGAAGACATTTTCCAGAAAAGCAAACCCCCACAATTTCTTTTCAAAAGTGTTTAAAGTCATATGATACTCATTCGTTTTGGTTCTTTACAAAATTTCATAGTTGGTGACAGTGTTTAGAAACTGCTTTGGGGATTCTTAATAGCAAAAGACAAAAAGCCACATGCCCCTTGTTCTTCTTTTTACAATATGATGACAAACTAAAATACATTCCTCAGTCAGCAATAGTGTTGGACCATGTATAGCAAATATGGCTGAAGATGTGAAGAAACAAGAGTTCAATTTCAGTGTGGGAAATCTGCCGTGTAATCATATGGAAACATGCTCTAAAGCACAGATGTTTCTAACATGTCTTTTTCCAAAAAGTGAAACACATAAGGAATTTTTCCTTTGTTAGCCAAAAAGGGAAAGATAAAATATATACTCAACAGTAATTTACTTCCTTAAGTAATACAAAAAGTTTTAGTGCCTATATAATGGTTTCTAAATACCATTCCCCAATAAAAAACAAAACAAACAAGCAACAACAAAAAAACAGAGCCCCTTGAAGAAATGGCTTATTTTAGAGCTGAGCAGGAAAAACGTAAGAGGAACTGGGACTATCTTGTGCTAGAAAGTAAAGAAGAGTTAGAAAAAATTACGAGTGTATTAGCAAAAGGAACAAGAGTCAGCTTGAAGTGACTGCCACTGGCCAAATCTGGGACAATTTGAGCATTAAAATAAATAAGGAGGGTGAATTGGTAGAGCACAGGAGCTATCTAGGGCAGCGAAATGCCTCTGTATGATGCTGTAATGGTAGATACATGACATTATGTTGCAGGTGGTTAGGCATGAGAGAGGCAGGAGAGGGCTCTTCCCCCACCCACCAGGAATGTCAGGCGATGGTTCAACAATCACAATGCCTCTGTAAAAATAATTCAGCACCCAGTGCCAAATTATCTCCTGATGGTCCACAGCTATTATATTAGAGTGTTAATTGAACGTAGGCGCCAGGGAGAAGCAAAAAGAGCTTCCACTAGTATCTCCGGTATTTGGTGAGTGATCCTGTGCAGTCACATTAAGAAACAAAATGGCGGAGTATGACCTTCCGGGGGCACTCCATCGGAAAAGGGAAGAAATCCTCAGATGGGCATGCGCACGACTTCCTAAACACAACGTACGTGTTCACCTCTGAAGCGTAAGAAGGGCACTGCGCATGCGGACAGCCCACCCTAAGGGAAGAATCGTGGGAAAGGGGGGCAAAACCACATAGGTGGGCGAGCCTGTGAGTCCTAGAATCACAGTTATACACTGCACTTGTCCTTCAAGTTGCCCGCTTGGGTCTCTTCTAAGCGTACTTTCCTTTCTTTCCTGTTCTAAAGTCTTTTTAAATAAACTTCCACTCCTGCTCTGAAATTTGCCTCAGTCTCTTTTTCTGCCTTTATGCCCCTCAGTTGAATTCGCTGTGCAGGTAACTGGGATGTCTTCTACCAGTAACAATTATACATTGTAAAAACCCACAGAATGTACAACACCAAGAGAGAACTCTTACCTAAACTCTGGACTTTAGTTAATAATAATGTATCAGTATAGGTTCATCAGCTGTAAGAAATGTACCACCCCGATGCAAAATGTTAACAACGGGAAACTGAAAGCAGGCTTGGGATGAGGGGGGTATATAAGAACTCTCCACACTGTAAACCTAACACTCCTCTAAAAGTTGTATATTAATTTTAAAAATTTAAATCAAGATAGCAATGAACTATAACCAACTAAATAAAATAAGAATCTTTGAGTCTATACTAATAATAAATGGAGAGCGGGCGCAGTGGCTCACGCCTGTCATCCCAGCACTTTGGGAGGCCAAGGCGGGCCAATCACTTGAGGTCAGGAGTTTGAAACCAGCCTGCCCAATATGGCGAAACCCCGTCTCTACTAAAAAATTAGCTAGGCATGGTGGCAGGCACCTGTAATCCCAGCTACTCAGAAGGCTGAGGCAGGAGAAATGCTTGAACCCGGGAGGCAGTTGCAGTGAGTCGAGATCGCACCACTGCCCTCCAGCCTGGGCGACGAGCAAAACTCCGTCTCAAAAAATAATAATAATAACAATAATAAATGGAGGTCAGGCGCAGCGGCTCACACCTGTAATCCCAGCACTGTGGGAGGTCGAGGCGGGCGGATCACCTGAGTCCAGGAGTTCGAGACCAGCCTAACCAACATGGAGAAACCCCGTCTCTACTAAAAATACACAATTAGCCTGGCGTGGTGGCCCATGCCTGTAATCCCAGCTACTCAGGAGGCTGAGGCAGGAGAATTGCTTGAACCCAGGAGGCAAAGGTTGAGGTGAGCCGAGATGGCACCATTGCACTCCAGCCTGGGCAACAAGAGTGAAGCTCCGTCTCAAAAAAATAAATAAATAAAAATAAAAATAAATGGAAAGAAAGAAAAGCTCTTTCTTAAAATGTGTCAACTAGTATTTGTAGTGAGAGGGTCAGGGTTGAAAAGTTACCATTTTGTAACTGTCACAGGTAGGACAGTTCAGGCAAGGATGATTAATGAATGTTAATTCCAGAAGAAAAGTTTGATGAACAGCAGAATATTTGCAGGATCTCTGAGTGTCTTCCCACCAATTAGCTGCAGGAGGTAGGGTGGTGGGGACTTATGGGGGGCAGAATAGTAACTATACAATGGGGACTATAATACTTTGATACATAATCAAAATTAACATCACAGATGAGGGACCAATAAACTTAATGTGCCTGTGAATGGACTGAGGACATCACACAATTTATGTAGAATTACAGCCAGGTATGCATAATCTGAACTTAATCAGGAGAAACCATCAGACAAGTACAAATTGGAGAAGCATTCTATAAAATAGTTGGCCTGTGTTTTTCAAAAAAGAAAAAAAAAAAATCCCCAAATCAAAAAAATGCCCAAGACATGAAACACAATGGCCAGGGAATTACTCTGGATTAAAGAAAGCTAAAGAAGTTCAGGAAAATAAGTAACATACATATATGACTTTGTATGTGTATTTAAAGAGGGAGTGCAGATACGGCAAAATATTAATGATTTGCTGAATCTGGGCAAAGGGTATGTGGGAGTTATCTTACTATTTTTGCAACTTGTCTATAATTTGAAATTATTTCCAAGCAAAAAGTAAAAAGGGGGCTGGGTGTGGTGGCTCACTCCTGTAATCCCAGCACTTTGGGAATCTGAGGTGGGCGGATTACTTGAGGCCAGGAGCTCAAGACTAGCCTAGTCAACATGGCAAAACCCCATCTCTACTAAAAATACAAAAATTAGCCAGGCTCAGTGGCGCACACCTGTAGGCCCAGCTGCTTGGGAGGCTAAGGCAGAAGAATCGCTTGAACTGGGGAGGCAGAGGTTGCAGGGAGCCGAGATCATGCCATTACACTTCAGCCTGGGCAACGGAGCAAGACTCTCTCACCCCTCCCCGCCAAAAAAAAAAGTAAAAAAGAACATGCTGTATGGAAAAACTCTAATGGACCGTTTTGACTAGAATTAAGGAGAGAAAGGAGGTTCTGGGTTAAGGTTATAGAGCTAGCACCACAGGGGAAATTAATTCATGTCTTATCCTTAAGTTATTATAACAAAGAAGCTGAAACTAAAGTACACAAAGTGCTTACCACAGGGTGTTACAGCTGTGACAAATTTTATTAAAGCACAATCCAATTTTATTAAAATACAATTCAATGTTCGTAACAGGTTGTATTAAGATGGAGAAGACTACGAAAATCTTAGGAAAGGAAAGGAGGAAGAAATGGAGGGGAGGAAATTGCCAATGTGTTTAAAAATCTAATGAAACGTTTCAGTCATTTTGAGCTCACTGTTCTAAATATAAAAATGCATCCTATTCCAACTAGTTTGCCAGAACTTTTGGGCAGCAGGAAATGGACATTTTAATTTAAACATGCAGAGTCGTTTGAAAGGCTTTTAAAATAACTGTGATTTTGTAATCGCGACCACGAATTTTTCCTCTTCCATTTGGCCTGTCTTCATGGGGTGCTTTTCCACCTTTGATGTTGTTAAAATGAAGTACTGACACACTCAGAATCAAACCCCCAAATCGATGAATCATAAAGTAATAATTCAAGGTTTTTAAAACGATACCTACAACTGGATAGATTGCCTAAAAATCATTATTCACTCAAACTGGGTTACTTTAATGATACGTAAATTATACCTCTTTAAAACAGGCATATTTTCCCTGGGCGTGGTGGCTCACGCCTGCAATCCCAGCACTTTGGGAGGCGGAGGCGGACGCGGACGGATGACTTGAGGTCAGGAGTTCCAGACCAGCCTGGGTAACACAGCAGAAACCCCATCTCTACTAAATACAAAAACCAGCCAGGCGTAATAGCGCACCGCTGTAATCTCAGCTACTCAGGAGGCTGAGGCAGGAGAATCGCTTGAACCCGGAAGGCAGAGGTTGCAGTGAGCCGAGATAGCGTCACTGCACTCCAGCCCGGGCGAGACAGCAAGACTCCGACTCAAAAAAAAAAAAAAGCAAAAAAAAAAAAAAAAAAATTCCATTGTATTGTTCTTTACAAACATTCATTTAATTATGTAACCGCTAATTAATTGCTTGGTTGTTATAATAACCAATTATTTGATTATCTCATCATTTAAATTTTATTTTGCATATTTTCACAATGTACTTGATCTATTACTGAGTAATTTAATTAAATAATCATTCGAACGGTGGGCTGAATTGTTTACGGATAAAGCTCGACGACCAAAGCCTAGCGACCGCTGTTCTGGAGCCCCTCGGCCCAGGGCCCGTGGCGGTTCTCTCCAAGGGACCATCTCGCCCCTCAGCCAAGTCGCCCCGAAAACGAGTGCCTCTTCCCCGCTGTCGCTCTGCACAGAGGAACAGTCTGGTCGCTCAGCCACTTCCACCTTCCAGCCTCATCTGGTTCCCAGGCCGCTGGGGACTCCCAACGCCACTATCCAAGGCTCTAGGGTCAGCAAGCGCTCCGGGCGGAGAAGGGCAAGGACGAAGAGCGCACGGCCACGACCCGGAACCCACCCACGCCCTCCGACTGCAGACATGGGGAAGACACGCAGGAACTCCAAGGTCGCTGGGTCTACGCACGTGTGTGCCGCGATCCTGTGAAGGTCAAGGCCTCCCGTGAGGCGGGGTCTTCCTGGAATGCGATGGTGAACTGCGCCAGATCGGCCACTGCACGGAAAGAGTTTGGAAGAAGACAAGGCAGGAGGCCTACCATTTCTAAGGCGCTCGTGCACAGGCGTGGTGCAACTAGAGGGGGCAATGGGAGCTTGGAGAGGAGGTGCTAGCTAGGAGGAATGGCGCGTGCGCGGAGGAATGGCGCGTGCGCGGAGGAATGGCGGGCGTGCGCGAAGAAGAATGGCGCGCGCGTGCGCGGAGGAATGGCGCGTGCGCGGAGAGATGGCGCGTGCGCGGAGAATGGCGTGCGCGGAGAAGCGTACGAGCAGGAAAGCGCGCGCGTGCGCGAAGAAGGGAGGCGATGAGCTGCGCGGAGGAATGGCGCGTGCGCGGAGGAATGGCGCGTGCGCGGAGAGGCGGTGCGAGCCATGGGGAAAGGCGCGTGCGCAGAGGGGCGATGAGCGCTAGGAGGGGCAGCGCGTGCGCAGAGGGGCGGTGTGGCTTAGGACGGGGCAATGTAAGCTAAGAGGAGTGTTGGCGTTCGCGGAGATGTGACTGGTGGGACCTGCGGCGGCTCCCATATGATGGTCACCCTCCTGGGCGCGACGACCCTAGTGCTCGTCACCTTGGCGCCATGGGTGTTGTCCGCAGCCGCAGGTGAGAGGCCGGAAGGAGAGTCTCGGCGCAGGGCCGGAGGTAGGGTGCGCAGCTGGGCTACCGGGGCGGCGATGGTGTTGGGGGCGACAGGCCCCCAACCCTCGATCCTCTTTGCCGCGGCAAAGATTAAACCCGACTTGGGCTCGAAAATCAATCAGGAGAAAGTGGTGTTCTGGGTCCTCTGTCGTCGCTTGTCTGTGACGCGTGTACCGGTCCTTGGGCGCGCCCGGGTCCCCATCCCCGTGAAGTGGCAGTGCCAGAGCCTTGTGTCGAGTTTGCTTCTTTCCGGGAAAGTACTGCGGCTCAGCTGGCCTGTTTGATAATAAACAAAACATTTCCCGAAATGCATTTCCTCAATCTGGTAGATAGGCGGCCAGTCCCACGGGGGAGTGAGCTAAGTGTGACGAGGATTTCTCTGCCCTCAGGATTCATACAGGCCAATAAGAAATGACAATCGGAGTGACTGAGGCATAATTCTCAGTCCTCGAGGTTTACTAATCCTGCTTCAGGGCGCATCCGGGAAAAACATGAGCCACAGACACATCTGTGACTGGTTTTCCAGAGGTTTTCAGGTGGTGGGGCAGTGAGGCAGTAAGGCAGATAGTTCTGTGACATTTAAGTTAGTGCCCAAGAAATCTGTATTTTAAGATACCATGAGTGTGTAGAAGAGAAAAAGAGTAAAGGGTGTCAGTTATGCAGATGCCTCTGAGTAGGTGGAGTCTTGACTTTGTTTTGCACCTGAGAAGATAAGCTTGTAATTGACATTGTCAGTGTGGAAGGCCTCAATTAGTTTTTCAGGTTAACTTTGGAATGCCACTTGTTGAGAGGAGGGGTCCGTTCAGATGGTTGGGGGGCTTAGAATTTTATTTTTGGTTTACATAACTACCTACTTTTTTCCCAAAGAGATAATCATGTTCAAAACTCAATGAAATGTTTTCTCAATGAGATAGTAATGTTGCTCAGTCTTTCAGAAGTCATAAAAATATTCACACTTTTTAAACTAGTAAATGCAATTCTAGGACCCAGGACTAAGAAAACTGTTCAAAATATGGGAAGACGTTTTTATTTATACTTTTTTTTGTTTTGTTTTGAGAAGACAGCCTGTTGCCCAGGCTGGTGTGCAGAGATGTGATCTCAGCTCACTGCAACCTCTGCCTCCCGGGTTCAGGTGATTCTCCTGCCTCAGCCTCTTGAGTAGCTGGAATTACAGGTGTACACCACCACATCTGGCTATTTTTTGTATTTTTAGTAGAGATGGGGTTTTGCCATGTTGGCCAGGCTGGTTTCGAACTCCTGACCTCAAACGATCCACTTCAGCCTCCCAAAGTGCTGGGATTACAGGCGTGAGCCACCGCACCCGGTCTGTTTATACTTTAGACTTTAGTTTTAGGAACTAGACTTAGGTTGTAGACTTGAAGTTACAGTTGGCATCCCCTTGTTTATGGGAAACCAGCAAAGAATTGACTCACGAATGATCTGTGGGGGTAGTCCTTCGAAGATGGCTGAGTCTTTTTATCTTTCCTTGGGGATTTGGCTGAAGCATTGTGCTAGTAACAGCCATTCATTTGGAAGAGGGTGTTGCAGTCACTTGGCCTCTGGGCTTAACTATCATCCCTTTTGTGTAAGAAAGTTGGGAGAGGGCCTGAGTTTTTTTTTTTTTTTTTTCTTTTACAAAAATAGTAAAAGAAAAATACAAAGGCAAGGCGTCACCAGGCTAATTTGCTGAAATTCTTCATACTTACCTGGGATGCATGGGGAAATGGCAACTATTATAAGGTTGATAAGAGACTGAGAGGTAATTTTGTAGTGAGGAGGGGTACCCAAAGAGAATCAGGGCTAGCATCCCAGTGCAGGAGTCCAGGTGGTCTGTGAGCCTGTGAGTGAGTTCAAAATACTTACCTGCTGTCTTAGGAAACCATATACCTGTGTGGTACATGATATACTATTTCTCAAACTTTTCCACAAATATGTAGTATATTTTTCCTAGGATGTGGGTACTAGGGGCCTGGTGCATCCTGTAGTAATTTCTTTGAAGTCTTTTGTTTATGAAAAATTTGCATTAAACTCATGTTTGATGTGAAAAGAGCTTTCCCAGAATTTTCATATAAAATTGACATTCCAGGAGGGTATGCATTAAGAAATTAATTTAAAATTAGAGGACAGGTGGCAAGATATAATTTATAGGCATTTAGCATTTCTTAAGCTCTTAACTGTGTGCCAGGCACCAATCTAAGTGTTTTAACAGTATAAACTCATTAAGCTTTCAGAGCCACACAGATACTGTTATCCTTATTTAACAGACAAGGAAACTGAGCAACTCAGAGATCAAGTGACTTGCCTGAGGCTGTATAGGCCAGTCCGTGGCTGAGTGGGGAAGTCAACCCTGGGTCTGGCCTAAGAGCCCTGGGGCTTAACCAGACTAGACTGTTTTCCTAAAAGCCAAACAATTTAAATTCCTGATTGTCCACTTGTATGTTAAGGGCCTAATTATCAGTATCTTTCAGTTAACTGTGAGCCCAAAAATATCTGAGACAGGTCTCAAATCAACTTAGAAAATTTATTTTGCCAAGGTTAAGGATGCATCCATGACACAGCCTCAAGAAGTCCTGGCCGCATGTGCCCAAGGCCCAACTTGCTTTTATACATTTTAGGGAGACATAATATATCAATCAGAACATCGAAGATGTGCATTTGATTGGTTCGATCTGGAAAGGCAGGACAAAAAGCAAGGCTTGCAGGTCATAGATTTAAAGATTTTCTGATTGATAATTGCTTGAAAGAGTTATTATCTAAAAACCTGGAATCAATAAAAAGGAATGTCTGGGATGTCCCAAGGGGTTGTGGAGACCAAAATTTTATCATGCAGATCAAGCTTGTCCAACTCACAGCCCACTGGCTGCATGCAGCCTGTGACGGCTTTGAATCCATCCCAACACAAATTTGTAAAACTTTCCTAAAATATGAGGGGTTTTGTCTGTTTGTTTTCTTTTCCTTTTTTTTTTTTTTTTTTTTTCTTTTTTCTTTTTTTCTTTTTTTAGCTCATCAGATAGTGTATTTTATGTTTGGCCCAAGACAATTGTTCTTCCATTGTGGCCCAAGGAAGCCAAAAGAGTGAACACCCTTGATGCAGATGAGGCCTGCAGATAGCAGGCTTCAGAGAGAATAGATTGTAACTGTTTCTTGTGAAACTTAAGGTCTGTGTTGATGTTAATGGTGGTTGGCTTTTTCTGAATTCCAGAAGAGAGGAGGGTATAATGAAGCATAGCCAAACCTGCTTTCCCATCTTGGCCTGAAGTAGTTTTTCAGGTTAATTTTGAAATGCCCTTGGTCAAGAGAAGGGGTCCATTCTGATGGTTAAGGGACTTAGAATTTTATTTTTGGTTTACACAACTACCTACTTTTTCCCCAAAGAAATAATCATGTTCAAAACGGAATGTTCAAAACTGAAGACCTTAAGTTTACAGCTCAAGCTGATCCTGAAAGTTAACTCAGTGAGATTATAATATTGCTCATTCTTTCAGAAGTTGTATAAATATACCTTTTAGCCTAGTAAATGCAATTCTAGGACCCTAGATTAAGAAAACTATAAAAAATATGGGAAGACATTTACTTACATATTTGTACAGATACCTATATTTGGATTTATGTCAGACTTAAAAATATAGTACACCATTTTGGTCATCAAGATAAATGTGAAAAGTTGAAAGCAACCAAAATTATAAATACGTTTATATATATTAGATTAAATGTCCATTTATACATTTACATGTGGGGTAATAATTGTTAATATGCTAATATAAAACATTAATATACTAGTAATATATTGCATGTTAATGTTACATAACAATAATTTTATGAAAAAATTATTAAAAGGAGATTGCCAATACTAACAGGGCAAAATCTGTGAAAACTAAAATCCTGTTTAATAACTTTATTTCCAAGCCCCTGTCCATTTATCAGTCAGTTATTTGTTGGTCTTCCAAATGCCAACATGCCTTCACGAAGTTACCCATGTAACTTCAGGGTCTCCTTCCTTTAGCAGTAAAGCATTTTTTTTCTCCCTGAGGAAATCGCTAGCTGTACCCTATAATATTTTCTATTCTTGTGTCAAGGCCTAAAATTACTAGAATTATAATATTCTGCACAAGATATTGTAAATACTACAGATGCCATCAGATCTTTTGTTAAAGTCTGTAAACCCAGTTGCTACCCTTTGGCTGAAAAGAATCTATAAATTCTAACAAATGGATGAGAAGCAAGTTAAGAATTCGAGAGTGGGATAAGGGGATGTGATGTATTCTATTCAGGGATGAAGTTTTAGAGACTCCAAGTATGAAACAGAAAATTGAAGATGGGGAGACCTGATAGGTATCACCTTAAATTAAAAAAAAAAAAAAATCAGAAAGTGTTTTCTCAGATGTCTACCCTTTTGACCCCATACTATAAGATCTAACTGGAAAGTGTAAGAAGCTGTCTCAATTAAGAAAGTTCTATACGGGAGCCCCTGTGGTAGAGCAAGTCTACCATGAGATAACATGATTGTCCCAAGGCAGAAGTAAAAGAAATATTGTAGGAACCATAAATAAATTTAAAAGCTGGTCTTTTAAAAAATATATAGCTTATCAAATTGAAAGATCAGTCCTTTGTGATATTAAAGGAGTTCCTGTGAGCCCACCATTATACTGGATACTCTGAAAAAATGCAAATCAACTATGAAATGATATAGATTCTGCCCCTAAGGAACTTGCAATCTAGTTTGAGATTTGTGTTTAACACAAAGAAGCAGTTTTTTTTTTGTTTTGTTTTGGTTTTTTTTTTTTTTTTTTTTTTTTTTGAGACGGAGTCTGGCTCTGTCGCCCAGGCTGGAGTGCAGTGGCCGGATCTCAGCTCACTGCAAGCTCCGCCTCCCGGGTTTACGCCATTCTCCTGCCTCAGCCTCCCGAGTAGCTGGGACTACAGGCGCCGCCACCACGCCCGGCTAGTTTTTTGTATTTTTTTAGTAGAGACGGGGTTTCACCGTGTTAGCCAGGATGGTCTCG